GTAATAATCAAGGTTACTGTAGAGTTTTGTTTCAAATTTTCTTAATTATTTTAGAATTCTATTATTGAGTTTCCTTTCTCAAGATCAATTAAAATAATCATTATGTTACTATAACTATGGAAAAAAACCCATGATTTTCATTGTAGGAAAAGCAGTGATAATTATAGCAAGCTTCTGTCTCATTTGAAGATGTACATATTTACAACTTAAAAGACTGTAGAAGGAAAAGTTATTTATTCTTCAATTTCTTTTTTCTCTTCATGGATCAAAAGAGAAGCTGAAAGTGGGACTGGATCAGCAAATGCACACATCTCTTCCATTTACCCTTTTTTCTTTGCCCTCCATGTTATCTTATATGTTTTCTCTATTATTCTGAGTCTGCATATGCATCCTTCAACGATGAGAACAAAACCTCCCTGCAAGCAAGTTCCAGTGTATTCTAGGTCACGTGAAGACTTTTTCCCCACTAGTATGTATAGTCTGCCTTTTTTAATCAATTAACTATTAGAGATTTTCTGCAACTGATATTGTATTTTTAGTAATGGATGTTTACTTTTTCCTCACAGTTTTTTAAGAAATTATTTATGTTTTGTCTCTCTAAGCATATAGTAAACACTTTTTCTGTGCCTGAAAATTGTATCTTATAATTTGCCATTATCATAAGCCTGGATTAATGTCTTGTACACATTAAGAAATCGGTAGATATTTTTGACTTTTTTTCTAGAATCTAAGAATACATGAAAAAAGCTCTAGGTTAAAGGACAGAAGAACCAAGTGCTCTTTTCGACACTGTCACAACCACAAGACCACTGACAAAATTTTTCTTGTCTTTTGCTACTTATGACTGTTATATGTGAATCTGACCACTCATAAGACAAAGCTACATCACAATGCTATAACTATAGCCATTTTAGTTAATTTCAGTTAAGCATAATTTTAAAAGGTGTTTTATAAATCAATATGTATACACTTTTTTAAAAGATTCAAAACTACACTAAATAAATATACATACAAATTATGCTTTCTTGTATAACGGTCTATTGGACAAATTAAAGGCCAGAAGGACAAGACTACACTCCCAGCCCAATTCATGCTTTGTGAAAATGAAATATACTGACGTTCTATATTCCACTGGGACACATGATCTGTACCTATTTTCAGCCCAGGGCTGTTCACACTCCATTGTTTAAAAATAGATCAGTTCTGAACTTTGGAGACAGGCTCAGAAGGGCATTAACCTCTTTCTTCACTGTTAACTTTTCCGTTTCGCTCTCATCGTATAAGTCTGATCATGCTGAAAAATAGATCTTACTTTTACACAGTGCAACAGACTCATAATGAGAGGGATATACTTCACTGATGTTGTCTAATTAATTTTTATTTTTAAATATACTGCCGGCATTTACTAAGGCACACATCAGACTTCTCTGATCCTAATATTTCAATCTCAAGTTCTGATACTAAGTCACTGCCTCCCAAAATCTGGCTGCTAAAATGAAGGGAGAGCTTATTAGCACTTTGTTTGAAAATGTTCCCCGCAAATGGGCACATCGTGAGGCTGGGCTAGGGAATTCTCCTGGATACTAACCTCGTACCTTTTGAATCACTCTCTCACATTCACATACAGTTATATTTGATTATATGAATGTTTGTCTTTCCCTAAATTGTAAGAGCCACAAGGGCTACACTGCTGCCCATTCACCACCAAATCACAGGAACACTGAGATTTAAATTTTAATGAGTGCTTTGCAAAAAAAGCCACTTTTAAAATTTTTATATATTTTCCTCACTTTTCTTTCAATAAACTCATAAAATGGCTATCAGTATCATCATTTAAGATGAAGAAAATGAGCCACATATATGTTTAAAAAAATCGCCCAAATTTAATATCTAGTTAGTCCCGGGACTAGACTTCAATGAGGCTGGTGGAACAAAGGCCATGGTGGTAACCATAGTGCTCACCTTTCCCTTGGTACAATCGTCATTCAGTATTTGTTATACAGCCAGAAGAAAACATACTCATAAGTGACACTGAAAAAAGTTACAGGAGGGATTTCAATTATAAAGAAAGAAAGTAAATATTTTAGAAGAGCCAGGGGTAAGTAACAGTATATTATTTGTAGATGAGCAGAGAAAAAAAAAAGGAGGATTCCCCAGGGGAAGCTGGGTCGTGCAGGGACAGGAGGGAGTTGCCTAGAGATCAGGAAGTCTGGCTCTGTGCACTCATGATTTGCGGAAGACACAGCCACAGAGCAACTGAAGAGTGAACCCACAAATAAGGACTCTATCATAAAGTAATAGATACGGCTTTAATTGCCAAATTTCTGTTTGCCGTCTTAAAAGATTTTCCCTCAGAAAATTGTTACTTGCTCCTCTACTTTCTAGACCAAGTCTGTTAGCTGACTGTGAGATAGAAATGTTAAGATATCTACACAATCACTTTTCAGAATGCTTGGCAGTTCCAGGGCAGCTCGGTGTACAGGTTACCTGGCCCAGCCCAAGGATGCAAAGTAATATTATCTGCCACAGTGACTCTTCTACACCCTGAAGTTCTTAGTACTGGAGTTTGGGAAGGGCAACCAACACTTGATTGACTACCCATTGGTAGTAGGCAGATTCGGCCTGGCAAATTTCATGGCCCATCTGGACTTCTACAATGAAAACGTCACAAATTAAGTGGCTTATAGGAAACAGACACTTATTTCTCTCAGTTCTGGAATCTGGGAAGTTCAATATTGTAGTGCCAGAAGATTTAGTGTCTGATGAGAGCTTTCTCATCGACTGACATATTTTTGCTATGTCCTTATTATGGTAGGAGGGGCTGGGGCTCTGTCTTATTTAGACATTTAAAAAGCCTCATTTAAAAAGGAGTCATCCCATCCATAAATATCCACAGTCATGTAACATCACCTTCCAATGGCTTCATGTCCTGACATCTCACCTTGGGAGTTGGAATTACAACATCTAAATTTGAAGAGGAGGGACACAAACACTCACAATAATATAGATATAGAAAAAAGAATTTTCTATGAATTCCATGGATGCTACTGGGTGATAGTTATTAGGCAGAACATGTGTATAACTTATATAATGGCACTGTGCTAGAAAAATATCCACATTCCCTGAAACTAATTCTTCACTAATTGCCTAAAATATAAACATGGAGATATTTAAAATAAAGTAAAAAGCAACAATCTGAAAAATAGAACATTCTGGCGTATAGAGTATAAACCAAATATAATCACAGAGTAATATAAAGATGACAGCATCTTTTTTTGATTTTAAAGAGACAAACAGCCAAAAAGTAAAAATGGTACAGAATTCCAAAACAAGATGATAGGAATTTAACCCTGGTTATTATATTGCATATCATTATCTTCAAAGTAGTTGCCCAGGTAAGGCTGTGGAGAAAAAAGAACCCTTCTCCACTGTGGATGGGAGTATAGACTGGTGCAACCACTGTGGAAATCAGTGTGGAGATTCCTCAAAAACTAGGATTGGAGGTCTCATTTGATCTAGCTATTCCCCTTCGGGGTATCTTCCCAGAAGAACTGAAAGCATCATATCACAGCAATATACGTGCACTCATGTTTATAGAAGTGCAATTTGCCATAACTAAATCTTGGAAACAACCCAAATGCCCATCAACTGAGGAATGGATGAAAAAAGACATGGTCTTTTTATACAGTGGATTGCTGCTCAGCTATAAAGAAAGATAAACTAAATGTTTTTATAGGTAAATGGATACAGCTAGAGTCCATACTCATAAGTGAAATAAATCAGACCTGCATGTGTAAACATCATATTGTCTGCTTAGGGCAACATATTTTTACAACATGTCAGAAAAAAATATAGACTGTAGTCAGTTATGAAGTCCTGCTAGTGAACAAAGCTTGTCACTGTTTTGAACACTGATTTTCTTATCTATGCATGTAGCATTCTTTTATTGATGAAAGCTCTCTCAAAGTGCTAACAATCAATGGTTATGCTAACAGTGCTAACAATCAATGGCTTTGAGATGACCAAGTGATTGTATTTATAGAGCACAGAAAGAAAAGATTTAACACAGAACTAAAGTTTTATAGTCTAAAGACTTAAAAGACTTAAAAGAATGACTAAAACAATTACAGAGAGACGTTAAAAGATAAACCATTTAGTGGTAGAATACAGTGATTTAATTACATGTGAGCCAGGGGATATCATGTATCTTTTAAGAAAATGGAGTTTATGGAAAGAACTTCAAGCCAAACTGTACAGAATTAAAAGTCTGAAATGAAATGAAAAGAATAAATTCAGAGATGGAGGAAGAAAAGTAAGTAGCTTAGTGATTCAATGCTAAAGAAGCCAAAGTAGAAAGTCAGAATGCGTACTTTGTTAGGAGCATAAAAATGTATGACCAACAGCTTAGAACAAAAAGCATGATGATAGGTGTTGTTGATAACTTTCCAGAAAACAATTCTGGCAAAGAAGTAAAGACCAAACCACAATAATTTTACATACAAATCCTCTGAAAATAATTGACAGTAAAAAGTACAAGTGTCTGAGGAAATAAGAAATTAATTTCTCATAATACGTGGGCATCTACTGGTTAGGGTCCATGAGATAACCATGGAAAATGAAGATGAGAAGGAGAGAGGGAATAAAAAAGTGCAAAAATCAACAAAAATGTAAATATGTGTTTTGGTGAGCAAAAGGGAATGGACGATTGGAAAGACGTGGACAGTGAGACCAACAGAAGGAATTTTGGAGGGCGAGGTTACACAAAGTAGAATCGGCACAGATTCATAATTAGAAAAAACAATTTCCTGATAATTTATTTCTAAACAAAATTAAAAACCATTTTATGAGTGAAATGTAATGGAGACTAAAGGCAAAAGCATTATCTTAATATTTAGTTCTGATTTCTATTGAATAGTGTCACATCAGGGAGTAGAGAATTTCCCAGGAAAAGGGGAAAACGTTGATAATGTATCACAGAAATTTGGGACTAGAAATCTTACCTCTCTCAGTGGATCATTAAGTTCATTGAGAATGTTTTCCTCATCGAAGATTTTGCCTTGGTATCTGTGTTCATAGTAATCATGTATCTTCTGACGCATGTCAGCAGGTAACTTATGGAAGGACATGTATTGCTCCACTTGCTTATACTATGAGGAAAGGAAAACGGAAATTAGAAAGCACTGTTAGGCTCTAAGAGAACTCATCACATTACACTGCTGTGCTATATTCAGTAATATTCAAACATTCAGTAACAAAACGAGAAATTCTTCAGGAGAAAGGAACTAATGTACTGGATTCTAACATATCTACGCAGTGTTCTTTAGTGTAAAAGGCATCTTATGTATGTAATATACCTTGTGAAGAACTGAGATGTGGAAAGAAGATATGGAATGAATTCAGAGTGAATTTAAGATTATGACTTCAAAAATGCCAAAGGAAAAAAATGAGACATTATTCCTTTTTTAGTTGTTTGGTAAAAGCAGTATGAATTTCTTTCTTGGCTCTCGATTTGAAGAAAGAATCTTGGAACTTTGAGTAGCAAAACAAATTTATCTTAAAACCTCTAGCAAAAAATTGTACCTCATTACATTTTGAACATACAGGGAGAGAGTTTGGCAGCTGTTTAAAAATCATAGATACTTAAGCAAAACAGATGCCTCTTAGAGCACTGATTCAGAGTTTGTGAAAGTAGTAAGGTGAGATTAGAACCATATAACGTTATCGCAGTAGGTTCAGTGGGATGTTGAAGTTAACTTAAGCAGCCAATTCCTAAAAGTGATGTTTATAAGACCTGCAGAAGAGATTGCTTTTGGACAAGGCAGATCTGCAGACTTAATAACCACACACAAATCTTGTTGATGCACCTGACTTTTTATATTTACACACACACACACACACACACACACACACATACACAAAGATATTAAAAAGATAACATCTCACCCAATCAAACAGGGATACACTAGTATAGCTATTACCTAGAAGCCAATTTCAAAAGAAAAATGTCAGGCCTCATTTCACACATGAAATCAGAATGTACATAATAAATAAATCCGCAGATGGGTCATACACACTATCCAATTTAAGAGCCATTCCCTTAGTGGTTTTAATGCAGATGGTCATGAGATCACACTTTGAAAACAATGAATTTTATCTTTAAAATTAGTTTCATTGCACCGATGAGAGAATTGACTACAAATAAAAAAGTAAAAAGCAATAACAGTGGTAAATTTACTTTAATGATTCATTCTTTAAGTAAAACACAATCGACACACATGGAAAAGATCTCAGATCTCTTCCTGATAACAACTGTGATGAAAGAGCTGGGTTTCTTGACTTTGTCCACAATTATTGTTGAGTATAATTAGTAACTCACAACAGACACTGATAACTGAGAAATGAGAATCATCAACCTACTGTGTTATATTTCTTCAATCTTTTTCTATAGTCCTTATGCATAAAATCCATATTGTTTGTAAATTTCTTTTTGGAGAGTAGTACTCTCAGAAGAAATATCACTTTGTCACAAGACTGTATTTATTTGTAAGCTTAGTCTCTTCCAAAGAATATACAACCTGCAGCTCTATGATATCTTCCTGAAGCAATTTAATCATGACACAATATTTTGAATTTAGGCTCCAGTCCATCACTGTCACTGTATATAACCGGTACTAAATACTTAACATTTGATAATTTTTCCTGCAAAATATCTGTGCCTACCAAACTACAAAATGTTTTGCTAACCCACTTCCAGAGACTGTAAATGCAGTTGTCTTGGCATCTCATGCAGCTGGCCTATGTGAAAGAAGATTTGGTGGTGCTCTCTACAGGAATGCTGAGAAGAATATAGTTGGTAAGTAGTTGGAACAGAAAAGTTCTGTCTTTATTACTGGAAATGTCTGCATAAATGGTTGCTGCTTTTGGTCAAAAATATACTGTTTAGAGTGTGAAAGTTTTGTGAAAACCCAGAATGTTAGCTTCTGCTCTAATGAATTACAAATAGTCTTCCGGGTTTAATCAGTCTGCTTGATTAAAAAACCACTGATATCTTTGTTGGTGAGTTTCCCGGAACTTCACTCTTGCACTTTACACAGAATCAGCATGTTCCTGCTGCCAGAATATTGAGTTCATGGGGAGCACACTGTGGAGAACCTCTGGACTGTCTATTCTTATCTGTATTGTCTTTCTCTTGCTACCTTGCATCCTTACCTTTACATAAAAGTCTCACTGAAGCATATTCTGTGCAGTCCAAGATTCATTGCTGCTTGGAGTAGTAAGAATCTGCAGCTTTAACTGAAAAATTACACTTTACATTTCTTCATCCTTTGCTAGGTATCTTAGGCCAGCATTAAAACTTAATATTTTATTCACTTGGAGGAAATTGCTGCCTCTGTACAAAGGGCTACTGATATATAATGTAAGCTGTGCTATCTCTACATCTCTGGAATTTGAAAATCCGTCATTGATTGGATGAATACAAATATTACATATGGAGCTATTTTAGTTTCATAGAAAATCATCGTTGTGTGAATCTAGTTATTTTTCTTTACACAAATCATTTCACCTCAATATACCTTAATTTATTAATCCACAATAAGAGGGCATTAGGTTAACTGATCTTTATTCTTTCAGAATAACGTTCTAAAATTCTATGAATAGTTCTTGTTATTTACTCATGGTTAGCTAAGTTTGATTTTGAGGGCATATATTTTAATAATTCAATAATGCATAGTATTTATTGGTCAAATAAACATGAGATTTCTATGTGCCGGTGGGTTTTAACCCATTTCCACCCCCAGTTTAACCTCATGTCTTGTTAGAAATCCATATTCACAGTATCACTCCAGAACTACTGAATCAGAAACTCTATATTTGGGACTCAGCAGTCTGTGTCTTGCCAGGCCCTCTATACACTAAAACTGCAAATCATTGCTATATGCCAAGGACTGTGTTATCTTAGGACTCAAGGAAGCATGTGTGACTGAGAGCAGGGGAAAATGAATTCAGTTTTTGGCAAGTTAAGCTTAAGATGCTCATGGCATTTTGTCATGTTTATATGTAGGTCAGACACTCAGAGGAGGAAATACACACATTACCAGTGACTGTAAGTACACTAAGGGCCACTGTGTCAATAGGAGAGCTGGGAATTAGGGGGTTAAGGGTGCTGGTAGCAACCATTAGGATATGAGATCAGAACCAGAAAACATGAGTATCAGAAGCAAAAATTTCAAAAGGGGAGTGTACAGAAGCTGAATATTCTAAGGGAAAAAAATGTTTTGGACAGTGGCCATGGATTTGGAAATAAGGTAGTAAACTGTGTTAGATACGACACTGAAGGAAAGTCAGAGCTATTTCTTTCTGTTTCCCTCACACTTAACGAGAGTTGTAAAAAACAAATGGAAGCATCACTTCCATGTGATATGAAAAAAATAAAATCTGCTCTTTTAAGAAGACATCTAGTGACCAAGTTGAAAACAAAAAATGAGTTAAACTATATGCTAGAAGTTGTACATAAATAAGCTGGCAGTAAAAAGTAGCAATGTTTCTATTAGTTGTAGTAATGAGCATCTCTAAATATTCCTTGATAAATCTAATTGTTCACTAATAAACACATTTTTTGAAAAGCAAACCTAGACAATTAATGGAATTAAATTATCAAATTCCCTCCATTTTATAACTTCTTTCATTTCTTAAACAATGTAAAGATGGATTGCAACTTCCTACATATAACTGAAATTGAAAACCCACTGAGTGCTTATAGTTTCTGAGATCACACTGTAGCACGGAGCAATACTCCAATGCTTGTATTTTCTGCCCACATAAATATTGAACACAAGGCAAAGTAGGCCATTTGATGACACCTGTTTTGTTTCTTGGATGTTTAGGACACTTTTATTTCTTGCACACTCAGCTTTTATTCATTCTCTCTTTTTTCAACCTCTGTATTCCAATCAAATAGATATTCAGCTTTCTTTAGAAAATTTCCTGTAGGATTTCACTTTTCAATATCTTTGGTTGGGTTCATGATTCTCAGAACCCAGGTATTTCTTTTGGTTTATATATTCATATTTCTGGAACAAACACTCAAACAACCCAGAAATGTTATGTAGAAAATAGGCTTTCCAAGCCTTTGCATTTGTGAAAATGGCATCATTAAACTCTCAGTCTTGATTAATAATTGAACTATGGAATTCCAGGTTGAACTTCTTAAGTTGGATGGTGAGTGTCAGATTTGAATTAGACCCTCTATGCTATATTTGCACCCTCTCTTTCTCTCTCTCTCTCCTTCTCATGAGTGAGACTGGGTTTTGCTGTGCCGTTCAACCTGGCTAATCCAGGCTGGTCTCAAATTTGCAGTGATCCTCCTGCCTCGGCCTCCCAAGTGCTGGGATTACAGGTGTGCACCACTATGCCCAGCCATTAAAAATGATTTTAAGGCATGATTTTTATAAATATGTGAGTTTAAAACTATCAACTGGATTTAAACTTTTTAGAGAGGCTTTCAGTAACCCAGGCCTAAACAGACCTATCTACGTTGGGAGCAGGGGTAAGTGAAAGAGCAAGATCTAGAATGATGATGGGAGGGAATAGGAGGTCTGGTAAATGTAAGTTTAAGTTTTCCATAAAGCTTAAAAGGCACATAACACATTCACAATTTTTTCATATGCAAAATAAAATGCCATCATAAGCCTGAGTCACCTTAGTTTACCCATAGCCCTTCATCTCAAGCCTAAGGACATCACCAGATCATATAAATTCTACCTGACAAAAGTTGGAATAATTGTTGATTTCTCTGCATCTCAACTTTATTTCCAGAATCCTGACTAGATAGCATGTCTGCACACATTAAGCTCTCAAGTGTTCACTGAATGGAAATCTGGCTTGTTATACACATTCTAAAAATTCCTTGGATAACAAAGAAAAGAAGGCTGTGATGCCTGTCTCCTTTCAGTTACAGAAATGGTACCAATGGAAGATGACACTCTAACACAGGGACTGACATTTACGATTAGTATTGTATTGTTATTGGCTATTGTTTATCTGAGAACTTTCATGATAAAATTAACCTGAACTAACCTTTTAAAATGATAATTAAAATGAAATATTTAATTCTTTCTCAAATAACATAATCAATTACTATATTTTT